GCACATAATCCTTCACAGAATAGACTATCACCGTTTCCCACTTGTACCTTGAATTTCTTAATTGCCTGGATTGGTAGTTGTAAATGTTTCGCAACCCGGTTGGTGATGAAATTGTGAGTGCTACCGCTGTCGATCAGGATTTGTACTTTGAACCCATGGGCTGATCCTATCATCCGAAAGGACCTTGGTGAGTGGTGTCCAAATAAGGCATTATAGCTTATTTCTGTATAGGACGGAGTCTCTGGTTGTTCTTCTTCTCTTGATTCCGGTTCTGATTCTGGTGTATCTTCCAAGTCGACAAGTACGCACATGAATGCTGAACCAGGTTTGCATTTATGTCCGAAAACATATTTCTCATCGCAGTTATAGCATAAGCCTTTCTCACGTCTTGCTTCCATGTCTGCCTGTGATAGGCGTTTGATAGGGATTGAGCTGCTTGTTATTGGTGTTGTCTTGCTTATGGGTTGTGTGGGTTGCATGGATCTTGGTGTCCAACGTGTTATTCTTTCCTCAGATTCTGCATAGTTTCTTGCTAATCCCCAGGCAGCATGGAAATCCGCTGGTAAATGGGCTTGGACGTCGCTTTTCACCTTTGGTTTTAGGCCAGCAATAAATATACTTTTGCGGAGTGTATCGGGAATGCCTGTTACCCGACAAGATAAAGCTTCAAAAGCTGTTTGATATTCACGGACAGTACCCGTTTGTGTCAGCTTGCAAAGGGCCCCTGCTGGATCTTCGTAGGCTGTTGGCCCATATCGGCTTAGTATTGCAGCTTTAAACTCACGCCATGTTGTGAGTAACCCTTCACGAGAGAGGTTCCGGTACCAGCTGTTGGCGGGTGCATCAAGGTGAAAGGATGCTATACGGACTCGTTCGGCCTCTGGAATTGTGTAATAATCGCAATATTGTTCAGCCGAAAATATCCAATCTGTGGGATCTCCCTGGCCGTAGCGGGGAAAAATTAACCGTACTGGTTTAGGGCGAGGGGGATCTATTCGGTGTGGGCCTGGCCCCAAGACGCCGCCTGCGTTTGGAGTTGCTTGGTGTGTCTGGAGGATGCGGGTCATCTCGGCTTGGAAGCGTTCCATTGAACGATCCATAATGGTATTAAACTGCTCGGCAGTCGTCTGTTGTAGCTGTTGAAGGAACGCCTGTTGACGTTCTTCTGTGGTTTCCTGTTGCTGCAAAAGACCATTTATCTGGTCTTGCATCTGTGTCATGCGTGTATTTTTTTCGCCCATGGAGGGGAGTTCAGGAATGAAAGCACCAAATGTTGGAAGGAGAAAGGAAAAAGGGAATAGAGAAGATTAGAGGAAGGGAAAATTGGAAAAGGGAAGGAAGAAGAAATTTTGTCAAATCACTGCTCTCCATTCATCCTTGTGTTTGACGTTTTTATAGAGATCCTAGTCTCTATCTGTAATTCAAATAACAGAAGCAAATAACAACTAATCCTATCAGTAATTGAAATAACAGAATGCAAATAACAACTAATCCTAAGTTTAGGAGATATCCTATCAATTAGCCAACTAATAGCTTTATTTGATAACAACTTGAATTTAAATAATTATCTAATAATAATCCTAATGCTGTTGGGTTCTGTCTCTGTAGCCCCAAGACTAGCGAACGTAGCCCTTGAGATATGGTGGGCTCTTCCTCGTGCGTGTGGACCGGTTACTTGGATATTGGGCCGCTACATAGACCCTTGCCTATATAAAAACCAGAAATAGAGAATCAGATTATACATATTAATGATTTAAGAAAATCATAGATGTGATATAAACTAAATTGCATCAAGCATATATATATGGATGTCTCAAACACAAAAATGGATAATGTTCCGGGCTAGATTACACTCCAAAATGTACACACATTCACCAACCTACTCACCATACACTTTATGCCCAGAACTTTACCAATTTTCCTCTCCCTATAAGTCCACACACGCACCCTTGATAGCATGAGGGGTAAAATTAGGAGTGTGCATGGAGCGGTTCATAATCAGTTTTAACAAAACCCAAACCAAACTGGTTTTAAGTGGTTTGGTTTTCAAACCGAACCAGTTTTCTTCTTTTAAAACCGGTTTATGGTTTATAACCGATTTTGATTTAAAACTGGTTTTTAATTCAAAATCGGTTTTAAATCAAAACCGATTATGAACCATAAACCAGTTATCAAGTTCAAAACCGATTTTTTAACAAATTCAAAATTAGTTTTTGATGGATTGTGCTAATTTTATAAGTAGTCGTTTGTTTCTCCCGATTATAGGTAGTTGACCAACTATTTCTTGCAAGAATCTTCATTGTTTTGGAACTCTCCGGACGAAATGATTCTTATAGAAATTGTTTCACGTTGTTTTGAGAGTGATTGGTAGAAGTTGAATTATTTTAAAATTATAAAAAAAAATTGCTCTTCGTTCTCTCAAGATTTATGTTACTAAGAGTTTCATTTGAACTGATGGAGGAAGGTATGGGTAAGGGTGTTCCAAATGTCCAAAAAAACTAAATCAATCCATAACCAAGCTACTTCATATTTTAAAAATCGGTTATTTTTCAAAATCGGTTTCATATGAAACTGTATTTTATTTTTATAAACTGGTTATTTACCAAAACCATAAAAATAATTGGTTATTCATAACCAAACTGCTCTATAATTAAAGAACAAATAAGTAAATCCATTGTGAGTTGTCCTTTTAACGGCGCTATCAGAGATGTTAAGCCAACTGATTAATTTTGTTGCCCTTTTCGTTATGATTTTTTAACTTCATCTTTGTCATTTCAAAGCCTTCGTCTTGTCAAGTTATAAGTTTGCCCGTAGGCTTGTATTTGGTTTTTTTTTTTGTTAGGAAAAAAAGTTGTTACATTACTTAAGAAGTGCTTTCTTAGGACGCGGCATTTCGATTTATCCGTAATTTTGTTTTTTAAATAAATGTTTTCTACTTGAGTTGTTTAATTTATTTTTTTGCTAGTTTATTGTTTGGAAGTTTGAGTCAATTGACTAATATAATAGGCATGATAAAAGATAATACTTATTTATTCTTTAATTGTAAAGCAGTTTGGTTATGGATAACCATGGATAACCAATTATTTTTATGGTTTGGTAAATAACCAGTTTATAAAATAAAATGTTGTTTCATATGAAACCAATTTTTAAAAATAAGCGATTTTTAAAATGTAGTGCAGTTTGGTTATGGATCGATTTGGTTCTTTTGGACATTTTGAACACCCTTATGTAAAATGGTATTCCTCTTCCCAGAGCACATTAGCCACGAACACAGGCCCTCACTTCGATGTGCAGGTCCAAAAAAAGCACAAGCGTCATAGAACCTAAGAACAGGAACAGGAATCAGCGATCATCAACCTTAGCAACATCTTCATCTTCCACCAGCGATGTCCCCATCACTGAATCAAGAAGCTACGTCTTCGACTATACCAACCAAAAAGAATGGTCCAAATCTTCTTCCATTTCAAGCCGCACATCTCTCTATAAGTCCCAAAACTTTCCCAATTTCCCTCTCCCTACATAGATATGGCGTGCCGGTTAATTTTTTCGGTTCTTCACAAGGTTAGTAGTCGTGCCCTAAGTCCCTAACCAATTTTTCAAACACAGAGAGATTAAATGCTACAACAAAGCAAAAACGTTCGTTGTTGAACATACCGATATTTTCATGGAGAGAATAACGTACACTTTCATGCATTTTCTATACAAGCCAAATTCAACAACAGACACAAGCTGTAGAACCTCGAGTTCCACTTTTACCTCCACAACTTCAAAACATCATAAATTAATCCAAAAAATTTAGACTTTGGTGGCTACCTTTTTTGTAAGGCCTGGCAACTTGCAAGGATCAACGACTGTCCCCAACACTAACACAGGACTTTTCAGCGTGCTTTGTCCTCACTAGCACACTTCCCGAAAAAACTTCCAGAAGGTCACCCATCCCAGAATTGCCCCAAGTCAAGCACGCTTAACTATGGAGTTCTTCCATTTCGGGCTACCGAAAAGTAGATGCATCTTGTTAGTATAGGTAGTACCTATTAATTCTTATAAGCTATTCCCAACGGTACCGTCCCATACCAGCATAGTCTCTGGAATCCCTCTCTTTCGGATGTTAATTCGATTCATTCATGTACCCCGTCGCTGGAAGCCTGCCAGAAACCGTTCCTTGTCCATGCCCCTTCGCACCGGCGATCACTCCCCGTCCTCGTCAGCGCCCGAGATATTACATTTTTCGCCTCTGAGGAGGAGGACTTAGACTCCCAGAACTACGTGACGAAGAGCACGAGGAGGAAGAGAAAGATCTAGAGCAAGAGGAAGAACGAGAGCGAGAGGAGAGATAATCAGAAGGGGATGAGAACTTCTAGTTTGTTGGAATCTAGATCGGAAGGGAGAACTTCAAAATTTGAAGCTCACACTACATGAATGTATGATTTTCATGCTAAACTTCGTTGAAGATTTGGGGAATTTTTTTTTGGTATAAACAGAATATAGAATGAATATGGAGGAAAACATTTTTTAGTAAAAAAAATTCAAAATTAATTTTGCTACATTTTGAAAATAGGGTTGCAAATTGAGGGTATACTTGTATTTTTACTTCATTATAATAAATGTGGTTAAATCCTGGCTATAGATCCTATTTTTTGTAATGTATACTAAAATTTTAACATGTTGTATACTTTTTAATATCTTCAATTATTATTATTTAATTTCCTTCTCATTGATTGTTTCGAAAAAATTTTAGGGCAGTTCGTTATGCATTTGAAATGAAAATACGTTATATAATTCCATATGCATTTGTGAAACATCTTTAGTACAAAACAAAATAATAAATAAATGTGTAAGTGTATTCAAAATATATGAAGCGTGTAATTAATTATAACGTTTTATAGCTTAAAAAATAATAATTTTAACTATCCCTAGTTTCCACGGATACACTATATTAGTTCAATAACAATAAAAGATCTAAAACTAAGCATAAGTCTTCCAATTGCCAAACTTTACATCCACCACATATATCATTATCAATGGATGAACAAAGCATCCTTAAAACATTCGTCTAAGCACAGCGTTGTGTACAAGGACACCAAACTTTACAAGTGATGCGATTGTTCTTAGTTACACATGCGGGCCACAAAAACGGCAATTGTAGCTTTCGTAGGGTCTTAATAACTTAACACACCATCTTCGAATCACAAGGTTCAATCTTTTTTTCATATAAAAGCGGAGACAAAAATGAAACATGTAAAAAGCTCCATTAATTAATGGAAACCCCCTTGAGTGGTGGCTGAAGCCTTGGCCACATCAGCGGGCTTTGGAGTAGGCAGCAAGACAATTGCCAATATGGCACTAACGGCAGCCGCCACAGCACCTACCACGAATGCCGGTAAGTTGCCACCGCCAAATAAAGCATCCCATGGTCCACTTATTGCCGACACCAGCATCTTTATATAAATTACATACACATTTAGTATTAAAAAAATAATAATATTTTCAAAATGATATTTTATATATATATATATATATATAAATGAAGTAAATGAATTCTAACCTGTGGTACCACAATTGAAATATTGAGAAGTCCAAGAGATAAACCTGAAAATTTTGAAGAAAAAAATAACGTATTATATTGATTTATGTTTGGCTATATAAATTGATCCAAATTTCATAAGAATTTATTTAGTTTGATAAAACTTAAGTTAAAAATATATATTTTTCAAGTTTTTTTTTCATAAACTTAATTATAAATTATTTTAAATATAAATTAAACAAATTCAGAAACAGCTAACAATTATATAAATTGCTTTACCTTGGCCTGCCCCTGAAGTGCTGGAATAAATCGAGGCTAGAGCGAAAGGGACGCTGTAAGTAATCTGAACACATTAACAGGAAAGAGTTTATTAGTTTACTCCACATCAATATTTAAGCTTTTCATCTTTTCCTATGCTTTTCCGTTTTTCTAAATGTCTTTGTCACTTCATGTCTTATGTGACTTCAACCCTTTCATCAATAAAAAAAAAAGTTACTTTATCATATTTTTAAAAGGGTTATTAAATCCGGATATTTAATTATGTAATATTTGACATAAATTATGTCATTCTTACCAAAATTAGACAAAAACAAACAAAGGAGAATGGCGAAAATCTTTCGAGCTCATAAATCTACTCTACATGGCTTCGTGCATGTCCAGATCGAAATTATTTTGAACAAAGAATGAAAGAAATAAAAATACTACAAAAAAAATCCACTACCAACCATAAATATAAAACTATTTATTCAATGCACGGGTAACTTAAATAATAAAATAATAATATTCTCTCTTAATAAATTCCCATTAATGATAATTTAATAACTTAAAAAAATATTAAAAGTTTAGATATTAAAGCTTTTTCGAACGAAGTAGTGGCTTTTAAATCCATAGTATTCAACTTATCCTCAGATAAAGAAGGTAATAAATGCAATCAATAACGTGGATAAGGATGAAAAATATTACCGCAAGAGGGATCCCGAGAGCGGAGAAGAAAATCAACGCCGCAGCTTTGACACCGTGGGATGGTGCCCCCACGGCAGCGGCACCGCTTACATGCCTTTCGTGTTCAGCAGCCTTAGTAATAAGGACCGTCATTGCCAAACAAACAGCGAGAACCAAGTTAACCATCCCCCAAAGCCTCTTAACTCCCCCAACCAAACGACCCAACGGTTCAAGTACCAACGACACCAAACCCAAAACAACCGAATTAAGCATGAGCCCCAATGCACCCGCGCGCACACCCGCATCGTATGCTCTCTCCCCCACCTTACCACCGTACACCTCACGACCCATCCAATCAGTGTCGAACAAGAAAAAAGGGAACCACGCAATCCAGTTCAAAGCCGTAACCGCCATCAGCATCCACATCGGTTTTTTAAGTTCCTTAAACGCACCGAATAACTGCCCAAAGCATGAAATCGCCGATTCCTCGTTCTCGTTGTCATTACCACCGCCTGATGTTTTAATAATCGGGCGATCTTTTACGTAAGTAAGCACGATTATTGTGAGGACGAGGAGGAGAAAGATTGAGAAGAAGAAACAACTCTTGAGATTAGCACAGAAGACATCACAGGCTTTGGTTTCGGTGAAGGGGAAGATTTTGTGGAGGTGGCTGTAGGATCCGGCGGCGTAGCCAAGGACGTTGCCTATGGCCATGAAGAAGGAGAAGAAGGCGTTTGCGGTTCTGGTTTTCCGGTGGTCGCCGGCGGCGAGGTCGCCGAGGAAAGCACGGCAGGGTCCCTGTAACATGTTGTTGGCCACGTCGAGGATCCAGAAGCCGGTGACGAAGATGGCGACGGCGCGGGGGCGGGTTTTTTTGGTGAGGTCGTCGCCGAATGAGTGGCCGAGGTCGGCGGCATAGCCGATTAGGAAGACGGCGATTGCGACGGCGAGTGCGCCGGATAAGATGAAGGGACGGCGGCGGCCGAAACGGGAAGTGCAACGGTCGCTGCAGTAACCAACGATGGGCTGGACAAGCAGGCCGGAGATTGGGCCGCAAAGCCAGATGAAGGCGGCCCATTTATGTGGCACGCCGAGCAGCTGGACGTATGGGGTTAATAAGGAGAGTTGTAGGGCCCACCCGAATTGTATCCCGGCGGCGATGGATGCCACAGCGATCATCTTTCGAAGAGGGCTGGGTTCCGGTTGTGCAGCCTCCTCCACGTTGAGGGAGGAACTGTTGGTATCTATGTTGTTTTTCTTAGGAGAAAGATTTTCCATGGTGAAAGACTTAAGAGAGAGAGAGAGAGAGAGAGAGAGAGAGAGAAAAGTAGTCTGCTTTGGGAGTGTTTCTGATGCAACAAGAAGAGATGTGTGTTTTGGTGGAGGGAGTTGGTGAATTTATAATGTGGAAAAAGTGGGTGTGAAGTAGTGAGGTTAGAACTGTGACGTGTGGTAAATGGTAATGGTAATTGGTAATGGATAAGGCCGTCGTTACAAAGGAGTTGAGTCATAATGTCATTAATGCGGAACGTGTGAGTGTGTTGTATTTTGAGGCTGGTCATTAAATTTTGGTTTTGACCGCTTGACACTTTTAATGTAAATTTAAGGGTTATCTTGATTTGTAGAGGTTGACTTAAGAGATAAAAACACAGTGAAAGGTCAAACAGTGCATGGACTATGTTTTACACTGAAATGAAATATTCCGTTAAAAGGTAAACTTTCATTTTTGTAAACCAAGTTTCTGTTTGCACAAGAGTAGTAAGGGATTTAAATAATATGAATGGTGTGACTTTGTGATGAATCAGGATAATGGATTACACAAATACCCACAGGCAGAGGTGAGAGAGAACACCCAGACCGATTAGCTTAGTTGGTTGTGTTGTCATGATTGTAATTTTGACTAATTTCTATGTTGACGTTTCAGTACATTTTCGGATAGATAATCAGAATTATTTTTTTTAATACTAACTGACATTTAATTTTATAATAAATTTATTTAATAAATTTAATTATATTTAAAATTATATATCTATATAGCCTAATTTAATTAGCAATATTGAAAATTCTGATTAATGATCATTAAATTTTTTAATGAAATTATGTATTACTAAATATGTTGTATATATTATTAATTTTTATTAATCCACTGTTAATAAACCCAGACTGGACTGGTCGGATTGACTTGGAAATTAGTGAACCGGTTCGGGTGAATCAACGGATCGGCTATGCATTAGATCCGGTGCAACCAATGATGTATTTGAAAGATCATTCAAATATTATATGATGTTTATGTTGGACGTGAACATAGAGGTTGTCTATGTCACTATATATATATATATATATATATATATATATATATATACCTATTGAGTTTGTTTACTCTTGTTGGAATATATATATATATATATACGCTTATGAGTTGGGATGTATTACTTTAGCCATTGATGTTGTGAGATAGAAACTATGTTTTATGGAATTAATACTTAAAATCTTGAAATGGTTTAGGTTATGTGTGATGTATAAATAAAAGTCCATTAAGGCTACATGGAATCTATTTAGAATATGGATATGTAATCTAGAAAGCACATATTAATACCACTAGGGTTAGCCTAGTGGTGTGGGGTGTGTGTGTTAAGAGTGTGTGTAGTGTAGGGTGTTGTGTTCAATTCCTTGTAACGTCCAAAAAAAAGAAAAAAAAGAAAGCACATATTAAAATTTATCAAGAGTTAACCCTGAAAAGAATTGGTAAAGATGTATGAAATTAACTGACTTAGTTAAAGGATTTCTAAGTATTACAGGCTAAGTCAATTATGAACATAACTTTGGTAATTGGACGTCAGGTAAAAAATTGGATTAGGGCATGGCGCCTAGAAATATATTAAGTGGATGACTTAAAATGATTAGTGGCTAAAGGGCAGGTCACCGAATGATTTATTAGATTTAAGAGTAAACACCCTTTTTAGTCCCTGTCAATATCTACAGAGTCCTTTTTAGTCCCTGGCAATAAAAAAGGGCCAAATTAGTCCCTGAAATTACAAAAAAAGGGCCATGTTAGTCCTTATGTCAACTCCCAAATATGTAGAGTGGCACTTTTCTTGTACTTTAAGGGACCAATTTGGTCCTTTTTTATTGCCAGGGACTGAAAAAGACTTCGTAGATATTGCCAGGGACTAAAAAGGGTGTTTACTCTAGATTTAATTAGGTGAATGGCAATGTATAATGATAATAAAAAAATTGAATTCATCTTTTCGAGATATTAATTATAAATTAATATGCTTAGCTTCTGCATTTATTTGATTAATTAGCTGCGCTTAATACCATTAAGTAAGATAATACACCGGGAGCTCACAGAGTATTACATTTTATGGTATCAGAGCACTTTCTAGGAAAAAAAACCTGGTGTGATAGATTGAAGGGAGTTTCTTTTTTAGTGATTCCTAGTGTTTGACATGATATTGCCTTGCTAGATACTGAGTATGAGTTTGGCTAACTCATTATTTCGTATGGTGATTGTAGGATCATGATAAACACTGGGATACACTTTGACGACTTCCTTGACTGAGAAATATTATATGCAAATGAATGACATAAGACATTAAATTAATATCCATGTTAGGATTGAAGTGAGTCATTATAGGGGAATAAGGACATATGATATAGGATATTCGAGTGACTGATTATAAATGTAGGTTGACATGCTTAAATTGAGTCTTATAAATATGTTTGTGTTTGAATAATAACCGTTCAGTGGATTTGCTTTGGTATATGTAATTTCATTGAGATAGGATATAGTGCATATATATATACATGTTTGCTTGTGTATCACCCAAGATGAATTTCCTTGTATAATGCATACCTTGTGTGTTATTTGCTGAGTAGAATTGTGATTGATTGGTTGAAGATATATTGTGGAAAGGCATTTTATGAATGATATATATATATATATATATATATATATATATATATATATATATACATACATACATGTGCGTACTTGAAAGTACATGTAGCCATTGGTCGAATGGTTGAGACATGTTTGTTGAAATGATGAAACAATCAGATGTTTGTATATTCTAGAGTAAAGCAATGTGTATTGAAATTGTTAGAATTGATATGAGCATTCCTATGACGGCTGATGGCCTGGGGAATGACTTTATTGAGATAGTCTGAGCATTCCTGTGATGGCTGAGGGCCTGGGGGATGGCTTAATTGAGTTTGTTGCACCTTGCATCGATATATAAGGGGGTGTTTGTTTCAAGTTTTTGAAGAGGATTACCGGTAATTCTTCTTTGGTAAATGTAATTACCACGTTTTGTAGAAGGAATAAATTACGATTCCCGGATATCCAAGGATTACCGGTAATTTGATTTATAAAGAAAAGTCACTATTCAGATTACCAAAAATAATATGGTAATTCGGAATACCAATCAGAATACCAAGTAAAGGGAAAGCACAACAATAAATTTTGAGACAAAAATACCCCAGTACACATAAAAATCTAGACCCAATCTATCGATTACAAAAATAAAAATAGTTTGGGGTTATTTTTGTAAAATAACCTCATATTCCAAGTCATATTTCGTTCTAAACCAAATATGGAATCAATAATTTTTACCCAATATTCCCGGTAATATTTTGGCGAACCAAACACCTCTTTCGTAAGATTCCAAGTAAACTCAATTTCTATTGTATTCCCATTAATCATGATTCCCGGTTACTAAAAAATTTCTCTTGTATCAAACACACCCTAAATGTAATACATTGCATAATATATGATGTAGTAGAATAAAGTGTGTTATGTAGTATTAAATATTTTAATGATGTACTTGTGTGAGTAACTAGGGGAAACCTGGATAAATTGATTAGGTTTATTGACCACAAGGATATTGTATGGTCTACCCCTTAGAGGAAGATACTCTAAGAGATATGGCTATTGGAAGTCCCATTAGGATACCGCTTTGAGTGTAACTCATCGGGTAGTCCTTGTACATAAGGGTGCACAGATCAATCAATTCTAGTTTACCTCATGGTATAATGATGCATTGAGAGACCTGACTGTAGTCTTTTCAATGTGAGCTTATACTTTACAACCCCAAGTGGTGGGATGAGTAAGGTAAGTGATGAGTGATATGCCATGTTTGTGGAATAAAAGGTAAAATACCTTGTGCTAACACATAATTGCGATTGTGCTTTGTTTAAGTCACCAGACGTGATGTCTCGCGCTTATGAGTGAGAAACACTCTCTTGTCAGGTCTGTCTGAAAGTGTGGGGCTTTCTTTAAGGAATTGACTCTCAAGAGTGTAGTCTATGGGAAGCGTCGAGTTGACCTTCTTTAGAGAAAAGTAGTTATTCAAGTGTAACCTATAGAGGTGTCGAAAGATAGAAAGTAAGAATTAGTAAATCGTCGACTTGATAACAAGTCTAAGAGGACAAATAATCAAGAGAGATTGATGTGAGTGCATTTCCCTTGGGGTGAGGCATGGGTGGGAAAACTCATAGAGGCACATGTGGATATGTGCAAGACATGTGCGTGTGCTGTTAATTATGTGGGTTGAGTGGTCTCTGTGACTCTAGTTTAATATGCAAAATTTTAATCTGTTGTATATGTATATTGCATGTGAACACCTTAAATAGTACTGAGTTGGTAATATATGCTATAGACTATTGCAACTTGTTGATGTTAATTCACCCTTTATTTGAATTGCTAATTTTGCAGTTGTTATGGGAATTAAGGCATGCTATTATATAGAATTGTTTCACCTTTTATTTGAACTGTTAATTTTACAGGTGTTACGCGAACTAAGGTACGTTACTATATGGATTGATATTTTGATTAGCATGTATCAAATGAAAATGAACATTACCATGATCGTGTATTATGAAAAGACATGAATTGTTTTATGTTAAGCGTAATGACTTACTGAAATTGTAAGTTAAGACACGACTAGAGTTATGACATAGGAGCTAAACTCACCCATACTAGTGTGTAAAGTAAATAGCTTGGGTCAGGTCAGGTCATCTCTGATAAAGGAGTGATTGTGGACCCTATTAAAATAGAGGCAATTATGGATTGTGAACGGTCCAAGAACGTCTCAGAAATTAGGATTTCTCCTAGTTAATAGGCTTCGATTGGAGGTCCATTCAAGGATTTTCTCGGATGATACAATTGTTGTCAAATTTAGCAAGTGCACTAGTCAAACAAGAAATAAAATGATGAGTAAAGATCGTTTCCACGAGGATTTGTGTCAAGCACTAACTAACCAAATGTTACTAAGTTGAATCAACCAAAAATTCTGAATTGCATTGATTTCTTGTCACTCGAAATTGAAATTGCATAAAATTAA